AAATCAATTTTAACCTTATGTGTGATTTGATTTTAAAAATTTTATTTTAATTTACCCTTTATCAATAATATTATTTATTATTATTGGTAATAATTATTGATTTGAATTTATCATAATATTTATTATTAAACAAATTTTAAGACTCAAATTAAGTCTCATTTTTATTTTTATTTAGATAAAATTATTTTTATAAAAATTAATTTTAAATTTTAAAAAATAAATAACATAATTTTAAGTAAATGCACACACACACACACATTTATATTATGGTTTGATTTAAATTAAAACAAATTTTTAATTCTTTGTATTTACCTTAATTAAAACTTTTTAAAACTAATTTTTTTTTTTTTTTTTTAGGGGTTTGTTTAAATAATAATATTTATTATGTATGGGATAAAATATTTAGTTTTTAAATTTGAAATTATCTTTTAATTTTTTAACAGTTTATTTAAAATATTAAATAAACTAAATAATAATAATAATAAAAATAAATAAATTTTATACATTTAACTTTCTCTTATAATAATAATAGCAATAATAAATAATAATAATAAAAAGTCTTAATTTGTTTTATAATAAAACTTTTATAATGATATAAAAATATTAAGTAAAATTTTTTTTATATTTTTAAAAATGGCGAAACGTTTTGATGCAGCATCAAAAAAAAAAAAAAATCAGTTAAAACGTTATGGAAATATTATTAGTAATTTTTTACTTAAATTTAGATGGGTATCATAATGAGTAATAAATTTTTCAAAAAAGAAAAGTAATTTATTACTTAGAATTTGTTTTTTAAAAAAATATGAAATCGTAAACTTATTTTTGAATAACATAAAAAAAAAAAAAAAATCCGCATTCGTAGTAAAAAAAAAAAAAAAAAATTATTCAAGTTGAGAAAAAGAAAAGGGTGGTCCCTTCTTTGTTCGTGATTCATGGGAGGAGCTTCATAAAATTCCCTGTTAAAGAGGGAAGAAAAAACTTTTAAAAAAATAAATATTAGGGCTGAGCATGATTGGAAAGAGAACCAAGGAGGGTAGCATAATGCCACCCTCAACCCTCATCAGTCATCCTTCAATGGAGTTAAAGGAAAAAAAGGTTTCCAATTATCTGTTTTCCCCATTTTTAAAAATAATAATAATAATAATAATAGTAAATACATGATTTTACTATTTTACACTATCGAAAATACTTTTAATTTAAAAAAAAAAATTTCATTTTTAAGTAATAGAAAATTTCTATAAATTGAATTGAAATATTTAATTATGGAAATATGACGTCATTACAAGTAAAATTCTAAAAAACGTTACTCAGAATATAGAAAAAGTAAAAATTAAATCACAGAAATATAACATTAAATAAGTAAGAATAAGAAAAAATTTAATAATAATAATAATCAATTGAAATTAATAGAAAATTATATAATTATATATATTCATTAACTTTTTTTGACATTAATGTGGTCAAAGAGATGCATAATAATAATAATAATAATAATAAAATTTATTATTATTATCTATTTGTTTTATAAAAAAATTTTATTCACATAAATTTGATTAACTGCTTTAGATAATTTTTTTTTATATTTTTAATAAATTATTCGTTTAATAATTTTTTTTATTTTTATTAATTAATAAGATAAGGTACGGAAAAAAAAATAAAATTCAAGTCAATAAATTATGTTTTAAAATATATACAAAACATTATCATTATTCTTGAGTCTTTAAGAAAAAGACATTACAAATTTAGATATTTTTCCAATTAGAAAGAAAGAAAAGAAAAAGGAAAAAAAAAAATTGGGAAAAAGCTCCCCTAGATGATGAGCTTTTTCATTTTTAAATGTCTAGAGAATGAGACCCCTTTTTTTTTTTTAGACTTTTTACTAAGGGTTGCAAATAAGAAGCCTGGGGTAAATTTATACTCCCCAACACCCTCAACATCCTGCTTTCCATCAATTCTTTTCAATTTACTTTTTTTTTTTTTTTTTTTTAATTTCTTTGAAGGTTTCACCTTCTTCTTCTTTTTTTTCTTCTTCTGCTTCTTCGTTTATTAAACGAAAAAAAAAAAAAAAAATAGGGTGGAGGGTAAAAAATAAAAGAAGCGAACGAAATAAGGAAAAGTAATTTTAAGGGTTGAGGGAATCAAGGGTTTTTCATTTTTATTTTACTTTTTTTTCCCCCAATTTTCCCTTAAAATTCATTTGATAGAAAAAAAAAAAAATGTCTTGATATTAAAAAAAAAAGGAAGAAGGAAAAAAAAAAATGGCTGCGAAATTAAGAAGTTTTAATTCAGGTGTTGAAAATTTTAACTTTTTTTTTCTGTTAATAATAGAGTACATAAGTCTTGTCAATTATGAAATTATTAATTTGTTATTAATAAAATATTACATAACTCATAAAATATGTAAAAAAAAATTGTTTTTGTTGATTTAAATAGGGATTATTATAAAAAATTTATACATTTTCGACTAAAATTTATTATTAAAATTATTTAAAACTACGTCATCATAATTATTAAATAGGTACAAGATCACACACATACATAAAAAAAAATTTCATGCTTTGTTTAATAATTTATATATATTAAAAAACATAGAAAAAGAACAAAACGATAAAGTCTCAAAAGAAATAATAATAATTAATAACGTATCTTTTTGAATAGAAAAAAAAAAAAAAAAATACATACCGACTATTATTATTATTAAAAAGGGAAAAAAACAAAAAGGATGTCACTGAGAAATTTATAATTACAATATACCTTTGAACCTTTTCAATGAACACTCAAAAGGTTTTTTTTCTTTTTTTCTTTTGTTTCAAATTTTTTTTTTTTTTTTTCGCTTTAAAAAAAAAAAAATTATAAAAAAAAAAAAAAAAAAAGTTGAACAATTTAATTCACACGATACAATATGAAACCATTTTGGTTTGGGGATACCCCCTTCTTTCTTTCCTTTTTTTTTTTTTTTGGTAGAGAGACACCATCATTTTAACTTTCATCTAATTAACATACAAAAACTCCGTGAAACTGATTTTTGAATGAAGATGAACACACACAATAGAATGAATAAAAAAAATTAAAAAAATATTTTATTAACTGAAAAGGAAACTTTTTTTTTTGTTCCTTTTTTTTTTTCTTTTTGTTTTGTTTGGTTTTTTTTATGTAATATGACGAAACGATTCATAAATTCATTAACACAAAAGTTATGATGACATTGATTATTAAGTTATTTTGGCGGTAAAATATTATTTAAAAAAAAAAATTGAACGTTACCTTCCTTGTTTTACTGTTGTTGTTGTTGTTGTTGTTGTTGATAACGGTTTATTTTGTTTATATCGATAAACATTTAAAAATTTTTTTGTTTAAAAGTATAAAACACAATATGTTATAACAATTATCATTATTATCATCGTTATATTATAATTTATGCCCTTTCCTTACTAGGAAAAGACTCGACCTTTAACCTTTTAAACTTATTCATTCTATTATTTTTCAATTATTTTATAATAATAAAAAAAAATTTTTTTTTTTTTTTTTACGTATGCAATTTAAAAAATTTTTTGTTT